TGGAACTAGCAGGGCCGGAAGGAGGTATCTCTGTGACGTAGCGAACCCGCCTTCCCCGGTAATGCTCCGGCCCACCCCTGCGCCCGTAGACCCAATATCCCCTCCTGCAGCCTCTGCTCCATCCAGCAGGCAATTTATGTCAGTCATTCCAGGACGAGAGGTAGGCCTGGGCCCCCTACCACTTCTGCAGTGGCACTCAGTGTAGGAGGCACCGGGCTGTACTCTCAGTCCTCTCATACATACACAGCCACTCATCCACGCATTCCCCACGTAAGTCAATTAAAACACAAAAAATACAACAATAATTAAGTTAAAAAGTGGGTACAAACATCAACCAGGCATACCATTCGCACCGCATTCCTAAAATTTATGGAGCACTGCGCAAGTATAGATTAATAACTGTCTAAATAGTTCTTAAAGTTCGAGATAGCTGAGCACCAATGGTGGTATACAGGTGGTGTACAGGTGGTATACAGGAGAGTGTCTCGTCTTCCCCCCCCCTCTCCTGAATCCTTGGAAAGGTATAACAAAAGGGTCCAAAGTCCGGGGTGGCCGAGGAGGATCGGGGAAGAGGGGGTGTGCATTAAAAACATTAAGTCCCCTCTCATAGTTCTGCCATCTTCCGTCGCTCCTTCCGTTGAACAAATGTGCCAAGGAGCAAACTGTAGGTGTTACCGACAAGTCAGAGGGCCTCCACACATGTTGTAAGTGCCCCCACCCATCCAAAGTCCAGAGCACCGCAATGAGATGACTTGAGCGGGCGCTATCCAAGATGATACTCCAGGGGTAATGGCGGGTGGTAATGGTCAAAGCCAAATGGGGCTGCGCCAGTGAGTCCAGGAGCCCAGAGACTGCGGCCAGGAGAGGCCAGGTGTTAAGAGGCCAAAGCAGGGGAGAGCCAGATGCCAGGCAGAAGACACAGGAGGAGACCCCACAGCAGCGAGGGCAGACAAAGGAGAAGTCGCGCCAGAAGAGTAGCCGGGCCAGACAAGGAACGGAGGAAAGAAGAGGCAGCGTCGACAAGGAAGCGGAGCGAAACAGGGAGGGGGGCCGTCCGGAAGGGCTGCTGCGGTGCCAGGCAAAGCCAGCCGCCCGATCTGCCCAGTCCCAGCAATAGTCCAGATCGCTCACCCCCTCTCCGGGGCGATGGCAATCAAACGAAGCCCCCAAAGGCTCATCAAGTCGAGTGGAATCGCTGAAATCACTGGAAAACGCCGCCGCTGCTGCCAGCACAGCACCACCACCACCACCGCCGAACAGCGCAGGCAGCACAAAAGTCTCCATATGTATGGTCTGGGGCCGCCCAGAAGTGGCGACCCCCCCAAAGGTCTGGACTCCTCGGGTCCCCTGAATTCCGCACAACCCCAAGGACCCCTTTCCAAAAGGTGCAAGGTTGTTTCTAAAAGCTTTTCAGCATTTTTCGCCTGATTAATTCAGAGCGAAGACGCCTAGCAGCCATCTCTAATCTTGCACATGCACAATCTGATACTGATTAAAACATTAGGGAGATAAATGCAATAGTGTAAACCACAGTTTAACAGAGTTGGAAGGAACTTGTAGGTCTTCTAGTCCAACATCCCACCCAAGCAGGGGACCCTACACCATTTCTGACAGATGCCTGTCCAGTCTCTTCTTGAAAGCTTCAACAACTTCTGAAGAAAAGTTCCATTGGTTGATGGTTTTCACTGTCAGAAAATTTCTCCTCATTTCCAGGTAGTCTCTCCTTGATAAGTTTCCATTCATTATTCCTTGACTGGCCTTCGGGTGCTTTGGAAAATAGCTTAACCCCCTCCTCTATGTGGCAGCCCCTCAAATATTGGAACACTGCTAGCATATTTCCCCTGGTCCTTCTCTTCACTAGACTAGCCATGCCCAGTACTTGCAACCGTTCATTGTATGTTTTAGCCTCCAGTCCTCTAATCATCTTGGTTGCTCTTCTCTGCACTTTTTCTAGAGTCTCAACATTTTTTATAGTGTGGTGACCAAAAGTGGATGCAATAAATTGTCATATTAAATAAATCCACTTTTCTTTTCAAGAACTGTACTTTTCAAAACAAGCCATCCAAGTTTAAATCAGTGGTAGTCAACCTGATCCCTACTGCCCACTAGTGGGTGTTCCAGCTTTCATGGTGGGCGGTAGGGGTTTTCTGTAACTCTGCTTTATAAATTTTATAAAGTTACTTCCCTACTTTATAAATCACCATTACTGTGGAACAGGTGGGCAGTTAGACAATTTTACTATTAACAGAGATACAAAAGTGGGTGGTAGGTATAAAAAGGTTGACTACCCCTGGTTTAAATTATGACAAATCAGTTAGCATGTAGGCATTTGTATTTATTTAAATACAGTTTAAAAGCTGTTTTATGCAGATATACTTTTGGTTTTAATGAGATTTCAATGAGACTTTCTTGTAATGTGTGCTATTTTAAATAGCAGTTTAAGAAATTGGAAATGTTTAACATATTTAATTTTACCATGCTTAAAAATGACATGACTTTATAAAAACAGTAATTCAAAATAAATATATTATAAATTAGTGTTTAAAACAAATCATAGATGTATTTATTTCAATTGCCCAATTCTACTTATATTACCGTATTTTTCAGACTATAAGACGCACCTAAATTTAGAGGAGGAAAACAAGAAAAAAATACTTTTTGGCCTCCATGTGTCCCATTTTCACCCTCCCTGGCTCCCAGAAGCACTTTGTAGGACAACAACAGGCCAGTTTTTGCTTCTGGGGCCAGGGAGGGCGAAAACATGACGCACGGAAGGTTCTGGAGGCCAAAAATGCGCCAATTTTTGGTGAAAACGGGACACGTGGAGCACTACAGAGTGCTTCTGGTGGCAGGGGAGGGAGGAAAAAGGATGCACGAAGGTTTTAGGAGACCAAAAACTGGCCCATTTTTGGCGAAAATGGGACGTGCGGAGGGTTCTGGAGGCCAAAAATATATTTGGTATTTGATCCATAAGACGCCCCGAAATTTTCACCCACTTTTAATGGGGGAAAAGGTGTATATACTTTAGTTCAGAGGTGTCAAAGGACAGGCCATGTCCACCCAGCTCCGCAAATGGGAAAATGTCATAAAATGTCATGTAATGGCAACGTGATGCAGCAAGTTTGACACCTGTACTTTAGTTAGATCTAATTAATATTATCAAACAGCACATTTTTCAAAGTTAAGACTTCTAAATTATTTCAAAAGTACCATAAGTTAACTTCACAATCATTTAAATATCAACAAAATGTCAACAAAACAGAAAATGCAATAGCTCAAACACATGAACAAGAAAAATTATCTAGGAACATATTAAAAGTGAAGGGTTTTAAAATGAAATAATTTGAAATCATTATTTTAAATATATAATATGAACACACCTTTTTTTTCGTCACTGAATTTGTAACGTCTTCCTTGTTTGAAGGATCTTAATATTAAAAACAAAAAGAAAATATTCAACTTGATCTTTAAGCCCTAAGGCAAACATAATTATCAATCCTATTTAATTTTAAAGATATTCTGTTGCAAGTATTTAATTACTGAAAAAACTTAAAATACAGGAAGAAAAACTTATTCCAAGTCTCTTTGAAAGTTATTTAGAACAACACATAAAATATGTATTTCTTTCTTAACCTCTTAGTTAACTCAATAAGCAAGCTACAATTCAGTAATACAGCAATTGCAAGAAAAGTTTTCTGCAAGGGAAACTTTCATGTCCTCATCACGCAGCATTAAATGTGATAGCATTTAAAATCATAACAAGAATTCTACTCGATACTATATAAACTTATACTATATATTATATAATGAATATACTATATCTGTTAGCCTAACCTGGATACTATATAACGCTAACCTTCCAACAACTTGTTTCCACATTGCCATGGCAGATATCTATGGTAAGTTCATATGTACAACGACACATCCAAGTTCCCCAACAACTGATATTAAGAGGATACTTCTCCCAATACTAGAAATGTTACCATTATGAATGCTAGCTATATATAGAGAGAGATTTGGCATAAATTGTTTTAATTTCTTTTAAGATCAACATTGTTGGCGTAATTACATGAGCTATGGAATGTGGGAAAGTCATTCTTTTTATAACTTCAAACAATTAAACTTAATTGAATGACTCCAGATGTCATGCTTTGATATTTTTAAGGCTACAAAGCATATCTGAATTATAAAAGTTCATATTAATTTTAATGGAATTAAACATGGAATTAAATGATGCCATGGTACTTATTTGGCCATTCATTTAAAATTTATCATTAGATAAATATCTGATCCACCTCCCATCTGGACCACTCTGCTGAAACAAAAAAAATCATGATCCTTGAATTTTAAAATGCAGGAAACAGGTTGCAACAGTATATTGATAGTATTTTAAAAACCAAATAGGTTTTTTGAATCACAAAACTGGACTTCATGCAATTTATGAAGTACAGACTTTGCCTGATATGTCTATCTGGCACTTAGATCTATTAACTGAAATACAAGCACATGTGTATATGCAAAAACAACCTTAAAACACTGAAATATGAGTTTGAGCAGACTTGTGTAAACAAAGGGTTTTGATTTTGCAAAGAATTTTGTGCTTTGGGGAAATCTGCTCAAGATACTGTATGTACTAAACTATAACTCATAAAAGATTAAGCTATAACACACTTACAATTTCTGTTAACTTTTGCTTCAACAGGCTAATATAGGAAGACTTTTAAAAACTGTTTATAAGGTAATGAATTTGGCAGAAAAACAAATATACTCAAACATTCCTCAGAACAGTTTAACTGCCCAAGATAGCTAAATTGTTAGAATAGCAAATATATCCCAAAGAACAAATGACATGGTTTGTGAAAATGTCAAAAGAAGGCCAAGAAATTGACCAACATGACTCACTTACTGTATTTTGGGTTCCAGCTTTTATAGATTACTGGTAAAAAACTTATGCCAGCATTTTCCTGTTTTCTGAGAAAAAAACATACCAAAGACTATTTATAATTACAGTTAATTTTATGTTTGTGTATATTATTGATATTATGTTTGTAATAATGTATCTGAGCGCCTTTAAAAAAAATCTGAAGATATCTTAACAAAATTACAATCCAGAATCATCTAGTCAAAAAAAAGAACAATCGGTGACCCACTCCATTAAAAAATAAGCAAATAAAACTAAATTTGTTCTGACCAACATGAAGGTAGATAGTACATATAATTAGGAATACAGCTATTCCTCAAGTTATGAGTTCAATTAGCGTCTATTCAAAATTACGACCCCCCCCAAAAAAGTACTTACAACCTGATCCTGAACTTACATATGTTGCAACAACATATCGCTGGTTCACCCTTACAGAGACGCTGCAACATACCCCGCCTTCCGTCCAAAATCCTGCACCCCCCCGCCAGGTCTCCACAGGCTCTAGGCCTGCTTTGCTAGCCTCCCAGATCCTGCTCCTCTCCACCCCATTTCCCATCACGTACTTTTCAAAGATCTCCAGAGTTCTAGAATCAATTGACCCACATGGCAGAAAAGCCAAAGTCAATTTATTTGGATGCTGGTGAAGCTCTAAGAACGTGAAATCTAAGGAAAACAGCTTTGAATAAAAGACTTCGGCTTTTCTGCCATGAGGCCAGTGTCCCTGAAGGCATTGTTTCAGCCCAGCCTGGACAGGCTGCAGCAGGCTCCTGCTTGTTGCTTACTAGCTGGTTTGAATAAGCTGCTTCAGGGATTGGGGTGTGAAAACAGCGGCAGCAGCTAATCAACATGGAGCTTGTTTCCTTTGTCTCATCGGGCTAAACTGCAAACTCCACGTTGATTGGCAACTTCATATGCAAAAATATTAAAATTAAAGAATTTCAAATGTGAAAATAAATTATATTGTAAAGAGTTTACATGTGGAATTGCTAACCTTTTGCAAGTTTTCATAGCTATAGGGCAATTTTTGCCCTTATTAAAACTGATGTCATCTTTTTTGCTTATTTGTTGCTTTATTTGAACCTGCAAAGAAATTAATATTAAAGTTAGTACAAGTTTTCCAATAATTTATTCTAATGTTTATTTTTTAAGAATACATTATTAATGAACCTATAACAATATTCACTTAAACATTATTTACAAATACTACTACTTATTCAATGTATTGTTTTCCAAATGAACTTCAAAGTCAGGGTAAGAATATATTGTCAATCTCAGAAAAAGAGTAAACCAAAATCTCTGACATACTAAGTTTCAAAGCAGAAGATGAAAAAACAGGGAAGGCTTCATGTAAATTAAAACTATTGCTGCTACATCTGCTTTTGTTACTGAAAACCAACACTAGAAAAACTAATTTTATTAATTAAGTCTCAGAACGTACCTTTACAGAATCTTCTGAAGTATTTAGTTTATATACAGCTTTGAATTGTTTGCGATCCACTGGGCATGAAGCCGTTGTCTAAAAGATTTAAATTAGTATTCAGAATTTTAAAATGAATATTTGAAATTGTTTTTTTAATTATAAGTACAGGCTTTGGTTATAATTCATGAGGGATATAAAACATAAACTTGCATCATATTATCCTGGCATCGACTTAGAGCTCTAAGGTATTATCATGTATTTATTTTTCACATTTAATGTCTATATTTTAATTTTTATATACTGTTTTTATATTTTGAAGTTTAATAGTATACTTCCCAGAGTACCTCCTTGACAAACAGGTGGTTTGCAAATGTAGAAAATAAGTATTATCATTTACATATATTAACATGCAATCTTACATGAATAGACTCCTGCTTGAGCAATGCATTATTATTTACTCACACAGATAACCCACAAATGCTTGGATGATCCTTGAATTGATTTAACACAGAATGTGGAAAATTAAGAACCATTCCATGAGCAGAATAACAATATAATTCACTCAAATGTTCAGCAGTTACAAAATTTCCTTTGAGCAGGTGGAAGTCAATTGTTGTTTCATTTTGATTATTTTGGAAAGCTTTAGTAGCTTTTCCTTCTAGGAAAAATGGATTTTTTTGCTAGATTCCCCCCCCCTCATACATATAGATATAATATCTTTATTAAATATGGAAAGTTGGTTAAATAATAAAGTTTATAACTTTGCAGTCCTGTAGAGTAGCACAATGCGAACCTGCGCATTGCAAATCTCTTTTAACTCAAGCAAATTTATGTTATTTAAATTTAAAATCAAGTAATTTTACAAAATAACTAATTAACCAAATGTTTTATGTGGAAACAATAAATTTTAATTGTCCAGGCTTGATTGAAATTGAATGAAGATAACATATAGAAGCAAGTATTACATACATGTTAACCCACTCATCACTAAGTAAGGGCAATAGAATTTATTTTTTGTTTGTTTGTTTATTTACTTATTTAATTCAAGCAGGAATGGATTCCTTACATTAAAATATATTACATGGCAAGGCAAACTATGGCATTTAGAATATGTTTTCGAAGAAACTGTTTAAAATTATTAAAATAACTAAAATAGAAATGACCAATAATTTAAAGCAGTGTGTGTGTGTGTGTGTGTGTGTGTGTGTGTGTGTGTGTTAGTGATTAGGAAAAAAAAGAAAAAATTAAGAACTAAAAGTAGGTTTACTTGAATG